TTCAGAAAACAGAGAGAAAATGAAGATCACCGTGGCCAATGCAATCCAGTACTGGCCTTCCCCATCATATCTGATATTATCGGGCAAGCCTGGCAAATGGTCAATAAAATTTTCTGCACTCCCTTTTTTACTGCCTTGTAGATAGTATTTTCTACACCTTCTCCTGCAATATTAACCATTTAAGGCAGTAAAAAACTTTGTCCATACTTTCAGATTTAAAAGAAAAAAAAACATAAGTCTTTAAGTTCTAAGAACTTACATGACAGTTTCACAGAAGACAACGAAGTTTTGATCTGGAGAGACTGCCACTCCGTTGGCAAAGTAGAGGTTGTGGACCAGAACTTTGGTCTCTTTGGTTGTTGGGTTGTAGCTCATCAATCTGCCATGGGGTCTGCCCCCTAAAATATCCGAGAAGACGTCTTTTAAGCTGTATTTGTGTGAAGAATCTGTGAAGTAAAGCATGCCATCTTGTGCTACATCTACGCAGTTTGGTAGCTTGAATTTTACACCCTCGGCCTCATCTGTCAACAGTTCTACTGTTCCGTCCTCACTTATCTTCAATAGCCCCTGATTGAAAAAAATAATAATAACAAAAAGAAAACAAAAAGAAATATTGATATAAGTATGAGGCCACTTCCCTCTTACAATATGCACGTGAGATCAGGACCTACTTTTATGCATGTTGTGAAACTGTAGAAAACTTAGGTGGGGAGTTGTCTTGCAAGGTGACCTGAAAAGAACTATCTAGTTAAATCATAACAAGCGTTACATAAGACCCTAGGGGGTCGTTTGGCATGGCGGACTGTTATGGACTGGACTAAATTCTGGAACTGTCTAGCTTGAATTGGCCTAAGCTGGATTAAGTACTGACCTAGGTTTGTGTTGCGTCGGACTAAGAAGCTGGATTGTAAAAATGGTGAAGACTTATGTTTGGTGTTGTGTTGGACTAAAAAATAATTCTTACAATATTTAAATTTAATTGGGGTTTTTGACCTAAAAGATAAATAAATGCTACAAAGAAACCCAATTCAAAGATTTATAACAATATCTGGCAAAAGAAGAAGAAGATTTAAAACAATAATAAAAAAGAAAACAAATAAAATTCTGTTTTTTTTATGAAGAATAAAATTATGATATTTGTTTTTTGGCTTCTCAAGATTAATCTTAATTGGTCGAAACATTGTTAAAGGAGCTAAGCTCACTCTATATAATTCTAGGTTTTTCATGGCCCAAGTAAAACAATAATTAATATATATATATATAATTTTTGTATATTTGACTTTTGACTTCAAACTGAAAAATATAATTTGACAAGGTAAAATTGCTTGCGATAAAGAAAGCATCACATCATTTGGAAAAAAAAGAAAAAGAAAGCTATCACATCATGAATTATTAAACTTGTTTCAATATCAAAAAAATTTCAAACATTTGTAAATTACTATAGTTTGATTTTCCAAATGCAATATCAAAATAATTATTGTAATATTTTAAGGATTTTTATCTAAAAAAAATAAATGCTGCAAAAAAAACCCCATTCAAAGATCTAAAACAATAATTAAAAGAAAACAAATAAAATT